TCGGTCTGTAACTACATATTTCTTCGGTATTATTGTAGTTCTGTCGGAAAAAGCCAAAAAGTCAGCCAATACTGGCTGTTTAAAGGTACTTTACTGTTGAGGTGCGGTGGCTGCGCGATGATTAAAAAATTGTTTAAACATATTGAAGAGGCCGGTAATGTCACTAAAACTTATTAGGAACTGTAGTATTCTGCGAATACAAAAAAATGGCGTAAAGAAAATTAATTATTTCGAAACTTGAGGTGCTAGCACTTTTTTTTAAAATTTATTTAAAAATATTTAATAGCCGGTACTATTGTTATAATCAGGAACTGTAGTACTCTTCGAGTACTGTGAGATTCCGTCATAAAAATCGGCTTTTTCAAATCTTGCGGTGCCACACGAAGTTAGCACCGCATATTTTTTAAAATTGTTTACCTAAATCAACAGTACCATTGATGAAACCTCTCAGGAACTCTAGAACTATTGCGGGTGCAAGCAGTACTGTTATTAAAATTTCCGATTTTTAAAGTTGAGGTGCTATAACTTTACAGAGACACACTACTATCCGTCCCTGGTGTCTCGCATGTGGCTGCTAGAAGTGGCCGATAGCTTCAGCATCATAAGAAATTGACTAATTTTGAGCGCAATCGGATGAGAGGAGAATAATTGACGATTAACATTTTCAATATTACAGCAATGTTTAAACCGATCTTGTAAGTTGGATTAATAATATCACACGCTCTACGCTGTTAGTTGATCTATCAATAGTAGAGCATGCAGTGAAAAACGCTACACGATTGATCAATTTCTTACGACTTAAAGCTTAAAGTTTAAAAATTCCACGTCTTAAAATATCACTGTTTAAGATCAAATTTTTTTTATTTAAGTTTAATTTATTCGTTACTTTTTCTAATTTGAAGAATTAAAAAAATAAAGTGTAGATAAGTGTAGATAAAGCAAGATTAATTTTGCATTGGTAGGATCGAGTCTTAAGGCCTAAAACTTCAAATCTTACGACTTAAAATTAATCTCATTGTAGACACTTTAAGCGCTGTGCGTCAGCTCAAATGATTGGACATTTTTGACAGTGTAAAACCGCGTGTACAGACGATTTTCTGGAATCGATCCAGTGGGTGCCGTCACTGCGACCAGACTAACGTCAAAGGGATCCACATGGCTGCGATTACAGAGTCACGGTTCGACCCCCGCATTCAGTTCAGCGGTGCTCAATCCTAATCACGACTAAATATCGCTATCAGAGATGCGAACGACACGTGGAGTAGATGTGGAGTAAAAAAAAAAGAGGTATCTCGAAATAAGTGTTATAATCAATGATAGAAAATGGATTTTCATCAATAAATAGATCAGACAAGAACATAAAAGTGCAGAATAAATTGATACATTCGCAAAAAAACAGATAAATAAATAAAGGTGAAATAATATAAGTCATAACGACCAATTTCGCATAAAATATTCGTGAACATCGAGGTGAACATGTTTCAGTGAAAATGATATTTGACGACTTTTGATTTTATGTTCCCTCACGTTTCGCAAATCTTCAAGATTTATGTGCCTTTCATCATCGATTTGAATTGCTAAGCGATGCAGTAATCATCGTGACATCATCATGTCGGAAAAGAATAAGAAATGCTGTCTGTCATATTTCCACTCCTTTTTCTCTTTTTGTTCTTCTCTCTTGTTGTAAGATATGAAAAAAAAAAAAAGAATGCGATACATCCAAAGTACGTCCTTAATATCGTCATTAGTGGCAATCATTAAGAAATCTAGTACTACAGCACGACAAAATATAAAAAGATTATATATTGATTATGTAATAATCTATTGAATTTATTAATATTTCATTAATGTGCCAAGCATCCGTCATACCGAAATTTGTCATTTTGTAAACACAAAAACAATTGCGTCGTTCAATTTATCATTGAACGAATTTAAATAAAAAGAGTATATTTGTAAAAATATAATTTTACAAACACAAAAACTAAATCAAATTATATATACACATATATATTCAGAGATTATGTTATATGTTTGAAAGAGTATCTCCCTTTTTCTCGCATATTATTTTTTAATGAAACATTCTTTTTAATTAGCTTGAATTTTCCTTTGAGAAAATATCGCAAAACAATTTTTCAGTTACGAGAAATTGAAAAAGAAAAGCTCTTTCTCATAAAAGCTGAGAAAAAAAAAAAAATTTCCTCTTAAGAGAGTTCAGTGGAAATACTACATTCTCTCTCAGATATAGGTTTACAAAATTCCGAAGTAAAGTTTAATTATACACAAAGCTATGGACAGCGCAAAAGATTCGAAAGATGCTATAAAGATTCCAAATTGATTGAGCAATCAGAAATAGAGAAAGAATGCGCGAGAAATGGGACAAAGTTTATATTAAGTTGTTAACAGTCTGTGTTGAAATCTTTTGGAATTGTAATCGCACGGTGAAATCGCGTGTTACGACAACCATTGAAATTAATCTTCGCGTTGTCCCCGTTTCGGCAAGTGTATGGCATTAATGAGGTCCAAAACAAGGAGAACGAAACAATCAAAATAATGTCAATTTGACGTCATATTGATTGATAAAATAAAAAAGGATGACAGTAAAAAGAAAGTCAATATAAAATCATTCTTAAGTCATTTGAGATCGAGATTTTTATCATGACTAAATTCAGTCAATATGACGTGAATTGACATTATTTTGATGGTTTCAATCTCCTTATCGGAAGTGTATAGAGAATTTAAAAAACCGATAAACAGCTCTCGGATTTCTTCCGTTTGACGCTGACACTCATTGGGGTTGCGTTCCGAAATTCGACCCTGTCAACTCCGAGTATCTTTTATCTTTGTTCGACATTCGGCGAACAACAAAGATGAAAGATACACTCGGAGTTGACAGGGTCGAATTTCGGAACGCAACCCCGAATGACAACGCGCAGGGGAATGAGAAAAAGAGCGAGAGCGAGAGAGAGAGAGAGAGAGAGAAACCCGCAAGGGGGTAGCGAAGAAGAGAGTCGCTCGCGCGCGCGGATCGCCACGGGGCGCGCGGCCGCGAAGCGGAACGGAGAGCGGCGCGCGGTGTGCGTTCTCCCTCACCTGAAAGTCGCAGTAGATGATTTCGTTGTCGTCGAACAGTCGAATAGTGGCGCGATGCACCACCGTCACGTCGCTCTTGCTGCCGAATTTCAACATCTCTGCCCTCAAGTCGCCACCCAAATTGTACCTCCGCTCGTCATCGTTCCTACCTCCGCAGCACCACACACTGCCCGTTTATTAATCGCGACGCGCGCCACCGTCGTCGTCGTCGTCGGCGCCGGTCGTCGTCGTTGTCGCCGCCGCCGTCGCCGCTGCCACTGACGCGCGATCACCGTACTCCGTATTAATCGGCGAGCTGACACGACACGACGGCGCGACGGCACGAGCGTTGCACAGCGGTGAACGACGACACATCACCACCGTACAGCGGAAGAACGCGAAGCCGTCTATCAACCGAGTTTCATCTCACTGCTGCGCCGCCGCCGCGGCGCGGCCAACGCGACGCTGCCACATCTTCGCCGCCCTCCCCCCCTCCCCTCCTCCTCTCCCCGCAGCCGGCTCCGCGCGACGTTGCCGTTGTCTGCCCCGTCGAGGCGCCACGCCGCGCGCCAAATTTTGACTCTCGCCGCTTCCGATTTTCGAACACACGGACGTAACGTAATTAATATGTACTCGTATTTTTCATTGATTACAAGGATGTTTAGTATGTACCTATTTTCATATGTTTTATTATTCTGCTATTATTTCGTCTGATTGTATCTATATGAAATAATAAACATAGAAATGGCGTTGTAAGATCAAATAATTAAGAGGGTTATTCTAAACAACAATTATAACCATATATTTTTAATTTTAGTTATTGTGACAAAACTTAAAACTAAACTTATGATATAACATTAAATGACAGAGATGTTATATCATAAGTTAGTTTTAAGTTTTGTCACAGTAACTAAAATTTAAAATATATATGGTTTAATTGTTGTTTAGAATATCCCTCTTAATTATTTGACTCTTACAATGCCATTTCCATGTTTACTATTTTGTATACAAAAAAGCGTCCTTTTGTTTTTCTTAATTTTGTATCTATATGTACAATTTGAGCACAATTCTCTGATTGGTTTAAAAGTTATTTAAGAATAATTGAAAACGTTTAGTGCATTGTTTAAGCCCGTTCTACAATAAGTCGGGAGCTGTTGTCAAATGTCGTAAGAAATTGGCCAATTACAGGTGAAAACAATCGGTCATGATTGGTTAATTTCTTATGATATGATATCCGACGCCAACATTATTGCTTCTAAATGTGTGCATTCAATTTCTTTTACAAGTAGAGGGCGCTATCTGTCAGATATAGTTTCAGAAAACTTAATTATCGACCAACTTCACGATGGTTCGTGCATTTAGGCCGGTGTTCATATTTCGTTCTTAATTATTTCAAAATCGTCCAAATATTTTGAAATGCTAATATTGTTTTGTAATTGCGATTCATGTGAGATTTTAAGATTCCATTTAAAATGTAACAGTTTAATAAATATATGTATAAAGTCGAGTCTGAAAATATACCGACTTTAGGATACTTCATTATCAGCCATCTCCAAAATGATTATATATATAATGATGATTATCAATTTTTTTTATTAAATGCAATTAAGAATGTTCCGTTTATTCAATATATCGACTAACAGTATTTGTAAAATTAATCGACTATGAATATCGACTGAAGTCAGCCGAAGTAGAGATTCGACCTCCGCCGGTATACAGATTCGCGGCTAGGCATACCGTGCGTCGATCCGCCGTTCGACTCGACGCTCAGTTCAAACCGGTTGATCCAACCGACCGCGAGGGGTCGCGCCGCGCGCCGCGCAGGACGAGATCTCTCGTGAAGTTGCGCGCAGGTGGGGGTGAGTTCGAGGGCGTCGGACAAAGGTTGGTCGCGTCGTGCGACCGGCCGGTAGCGCATTTGCGACTCAAACATGGCAGCTGCTACCAGCGTTGTCGTGCTCGACAGGGGCAACAACACCACCTGCACCATCAATTTACACGGTGTGTGTGCGTGTGTGTGTGTGTGTGTGTGCGTGTGTATGTGTGCGTGTGTGTGGAGATGCGTGCGTGCGTATATGTATAGGAGTGCGCTGTGTGACGTGTCGCGCGCGAAATCGCGTAGAAACTCGAGCGAGGATCGCAACGAGAGACGAATGAGAGCTCCGATACGTTTTTCGCCGCGTCGCGAGTTTACGCTTTGGTTCCGCGGCTGCTGTCGCAGCCGCGTTCTGATGCGCGACCAACGAAAGCTCGCTAACGTTTCCCACACGTGTACGTGGTTAGTGATTTTTGCGTGAACGCGCGGTTTCTCCGTGCTCTCGCCGCCGATCTCTGCTCCTCGGCGCGATTCGGGCACACGGCGGCGATGTGTTATCATCGCCCGGGATATACCCTCCTCACGTGTCACCGTCCCAACGTGCCATCCTCCGCGCGCTCTTTCACGTGATCGCTCAACTCCGATCGATATTCTGATATACGATTTTTCCATTTTGCAGGAGCGACCGTGGTGTCTTGGCGGGTGAATAACCAGGAACAGCTGTTTGTTAGGTAAATATACACACGCATGAGTTAAACTGTGGCATGATAGCATTTTGACAGACAAGTCGGAGTTACCGTAAATGTCTCCTGGCGATTTCCGTCCCGAGGTATCGCGATTTCATTTAGGGGTGTATTACTTGTTTAACTTTATTTTCGCATTTCCTGTATTGATTCCATCAGGGATATATTCTTTTAAATCATAAAGTGTGTTAAAGAAAGAAATGATACGTTAAAATCAGACAAAAATGATATGTTAAAATCCTGCGTAATTGTTAATAGACGTTCAGAAAGTACTAAACTAATAAATGTTAAATTTAAATCTCTCAATCACACACATACTAGAGAGAGAGAGAGAGAGAGAGAGAGAGAGAGAGAGAGAGAGATAGAACCGCAAATCTAAATTAGCTTATTCATTGCGATTCAAAATAAATCTAATTTTTCGCGAGAAAAGGTTGCCGTAAAAGTAAAATTACGTGTAATTCATTATAATTATTTATGGAAAAAATTACAAAAATCTAAAGCTCCGCTTACAAATCTGTATAACTTCAAAAAAACTATTAAATAAAAAATGGTACAGCAGCAGTTTTAGTATGTTAGTATTAAATCTTAGATAATATAAATCTGTGATCATAAGAAGATATCAATTAAAATTCACGTAAACAGATTAAACTTTGAGGTCTATTATGTTTAAAGTCTAACATATTAATAGAGTAATTTTTCGAAGAGATGCCGACTTTTTCTGATTCGTCCTGTATAGGTTACAAGACGCGTTATAAGAATCGTTGAAATAAACGTTGACGCAAGTTGTAAGGTTGCGCGCGAGGTTACGCATCTTAGATGAGATAGAATGCATTCAGCTTGATCATACATTACGATGCAAAATTATAGCGTCGAAAGAGCAATTTACGTATGAGCAATTTATCGCAGAAAAATCAAACGAATAAAACAATTGAGATCATAAGAAGTTACGAAGCGACGCATAAGCTGGTGAAAATTTAATGAATTTTCTAATGTTTTTTAATTTTAAACGTTACACTTAAAGTGAACGCGTGAAAAATTACGAAGCAATACATAAACTGGTGAAAATTTAATGAATTTTCTAACGTTTAGTGAACGCAAAAATAAAGATTATATTCAATATTCAAGATAAATATTTGGATTTTTGAACTCTAAACGGAGTTAAATACTTTGACAGAGTTTGAGAAAATTGTAAGGTTGAAAAATGTTCTAGCATTAATTTGAATTATCTAATAAACGTATCGTGAGAAATTTTTATGACAATTGATAAATGAAGACTTTATTTGATTGTGAGTTTTGAATTCTGTGCAGAAACAGAATTTTAGAATAAAAGTAATAATATAAGTCTCAATATGTATAAAACAGTATATAAAAAGGGTAAACAAATGTTCGTTAATTTACTTGGCTCGTTGCCCTTTTTATATTTATAGCATTTTAGAATTTAAGAAACAAAAGCAGCATATTTATTGAAAAAACGCATTCTGAATACGTACACCATAAAATACAATTAAATTGTTCAATTAAAAATTTTTAACGGCGCGATGTCATTTGTTGTTTGATACTGCAACATTGTTAAATTTATAATGCCAAATTATATTCAATTCCAGTTATTTTTATTCATTTCTATATGCCGCTATTGCTTAATGTCGCGTTAATTAAAAATTATGGAATTAAATTTAACTTAATTAATTGATTCAGTTTAACTGAAAATGTCCATTATTTACTAAATATGCGTACGTTATCGACGTTGTGTATTTTGAAATTAATCGTAGAAATTTGATTTATGTTTTGATGGACGTTGAAAATAAAATATTTATCTGAAAGGATTAGGTTGCCATTGCTTTTTCTAGCATATACTTAACAGTAAAGACCTATGTGTGTACTATGCTAGTCACAAATTACTCTTCGAGATTGACACTTTCTAGATGAGAACAAAGTCTGCTCGCGTGTTCCATATGCGCACAGATTGCCCAACAAATTGCTTCCAGTCGGATGAAAAAAGAAACAATGGTTGTGCTGTCGAGCACAAGAGTGAAACGATTAAAGTATCATCATCCACGAGAACAATATACGTGCGCAATTTAAACTTCGCGGACTGTTGTAAATAGTTAATAACGATCGTTACAGCAGGCGTAAGCAAGCAAATAACGAATTATAGTTTCGATGGGTGTGCGGATCAATGACAAAATCTGTTTCGTGTCGCGATGACTCTCAAAAAGAGGAGAAAACCCCGTTTGTCTACAATCCACGCACCACTCATATTGTGCCTATAGTAACTTTTCTCTTGCTTTACCAATGAGTTTATATTATTTTTAAATCGGCCAATCAGAGCAAGCAGTGCGGTGCAATCGGGATTGTAGGCAATCGGAACCTTCCCCCAAAAAGAGACTTCATCGCTGTATACGTGACTGATTCAAGGCTCTCGCCGCGAAACGTACCGAAACAGTACGCAGTTCCAATCAGACTGAGAGCAATCGGGGTCTGCTCGGTCACACTTTTCTCAGTCATCTTTTAATTTTTTTCAATCCGATTTAATGAAACACTCAAGATCCTGTTAAACGCGCGTATATTTGCATAGTTCGTTTACACTGAAATAGTAATATTAATTTATTCACGCCTTTTTTCTCGAGCGTTGTTTTATGATCGCAGCGAGTGATGATTGTTTTTTTTTCTTTTTTTTTTATTATTGTTGAACATTAGACTCTCTACGTTACGAACGCAACGGCAATGCATTGAATGCATGTACCTCGGGTGGAGCATAAACGGTATTATGTTTTTCCTCTCGTTTTGTACGCAAACTGCATAAGCTTCCTTTTGACAGTACAATAAGTATATAATCTTCCTTTTCGGATTACATCATCCGTTTTGTGCATCGAACTTCTGAAAATCCACGCTTATCGTTATATCGAGAGAAATCTGTACATATTTGTAGGCAGTTTGATAAATCAGTGATTTTTTTTCAAAGGAGATTATATCGAGAAATAAGTCAAATTTTGATTAAACAAAGTTAAAAAGAAGTCAGTGACTGAACTAATCACTGTTCCCAATTTTTATAATCTTGGAAAGGAAGTCGCACTCTCTCTCTTTCTCTCTCTCTCTCTCTCTCTCTCTCTCTCTCTCAGTATCATTCTTTCGCGACAATGTAATTCCGTAGCACGAGAAGGAAGAGACAACGAGAGAAGACGCGCGCGCGCGCACACACCTGCCGAGAAAGAACCGCGTAAAAGCGCGGTGCCCGTGACGATCGCTTTAAAAGCGGCAGCCCGAGAGCAGACGATGAAAAAACTGACGGAGAGCGAAGGCAAGGGCGCTCTCTGGACCAGTACATACCTTATACACGGGGTTCAGGGCCCCTCGTCGTTTGCCAGTCATCGGTCCTTCCGACTGTAAAGCCGCTGTCGAGACTGGATTTTGCAATAGATCCGCGGCTATCGGAAACGATGACAGTATTGAAACCGAGAAATCATCATTTAAGTACAGTTAATTGATGTAGCGGTATCGTATATACTTTCATCACGAAACGAGCGCCGCTATTTCGACTGCATAATAGATACCTATGATGAAAGGGATTGCGACGAATCCGCACCTGACGAATTCGATTATGTATCTTTTCAAACAAGACTACACACAGACTACCGCAATTATTTCTTCTCACACGTACTATACTTATATTGATGTATAATTCGGCTTATGGATATAAATCGTGAGTCATCGCGATTCGGCTGCTGTCAGAACGTGGCTATTCTTCGTGTGGCCGTCCAGGGAGCACCGTCAAAGAATTTTAAGTAAAACACACGTACACAATTATACACGTACACGGGGCAAGACGCTCGGCAAACACGCTCGTAATTTACTCCAATTTCCCTCGAAAGCGGCTATAAAAGTTATGTCGGTATGTCCGGCCGTGACATGATACTGATCGCGATGCACCGCGCGCGATGTACGAGGTATATACATTTTAATTACGAATACTACGTGTTTGACGTCTAGAAACAAAGTCTAGAAAAAGGTTTTACTTTTAATTAGTAACGTTGAAGAAATTGATGCTTAACGTTCGATGTTCGTTTACGGAATTTAAACAAGCACAACAAAATCTCCAGTGAATTTCATATTAACTTGATGAGGTTTTAACTTAAGGCGTTCGGTTACTTGTCGAATCAATATCAAATTTTACTTTAGAAAGAGGCAAAGTAACTCTCGAAATAATTACAAGAAATCATTAAATCATTAAATTCAAATATTCCTCAAGATACATGTAAATGTAAAATAAGCCTTGTATATATTGTATATAAATTATTAAACGCATTGGCTGTGTTTAACAGAAAAAGCAACTTTATAACAGTTGTAAAATTCTTTAATAATCGGTCTTGCTCTTGGTTCTTTTTAAATGTATATCATATTAAACCATTTTACAATAATCGCAAAGCTACTTTTTCCCACTGAACGCAGCCAATGCTTTCGCAGTAATGATTATCAAATCGTGAAACGAAATTGAGTCAGCCGTTTCTGAAGCTGACCGGTTGTACTCGAGCACCATTGGGTAACATGAGAGGATCACGTGCAGCATGTCGATCTCTCGGTTCTTACGATCCGACCACGGATGTCGACGTGCCCTCGTTGAACATCTGCGTCCACGACGGGGCTCAAAAACGGAAATGAAGAATCGGGACGAAGCGGCGATGCGTGAACGGTGACGAACTGTAGTTGGAATTTCATTAGCGCGATAAAATAATCAGGCGTATTGCGATTTTGCTGATTATTTCACGGTCACGGCAAAACAATGGGATAGCTTTAGGCCTGTTTTTATATTCTCGTAGCAGATTGCACTACAACTCTTTCACACCAAATATCATATGTATACCTATACTTTACTTTTAGTTCCAAAAGTATATACTTTCTTAGCCACAAAAAATAGCTGTAGAAACTTTTCATATAATGTCGACATAACATATGACAACCATAGAAAGATTAAAATTCCGGATGTATGGTCA